CCGAAACGTCAGCCTCTCTGCTCCTATGATGCTGCTTGGCCTGCTGTGTTCATCCAGCCCTGCACCTTGTTGTCATGTAACAATAAATGTTTAGTTTAACTTTAGTTATAAGACGTAAGTCAATTACAATTACAGACTGAGTCTTAAAATGTCTTTCAGTCCCGAGTAGCAATGAGACCATTCCAGTTCTGAATGTTTTCACATTCAGTCATCACATTCATTACATTAAGTACAAAAGAATATTTAATAAGACAGTGAATATACTTTATTCATATAAAAGGAAATTTTAATGTACATACACAGTTACTAAAGCAGTTCCGAACTATGCAGTTTTTGCATATGGAGAAGAAAACAAACATTGAGATATGACTTGCTTGATAGTTACAATAATCCAAAGACATTTCATAATTTATGCTAGGTAATAGGAACCATAGATGAATTGGAGTTGGGGACTAAGTGTGGTGTGTCAAAATTTGTAGATGGCACTAAGGTGAGTGGTAGAGCAAAGTGTGCAGAAGACACTGAAAGTCTGCAGAGGGATATAGATAGTCTAAGTGAATGGGCAAAGGTCTGGCAGATGGAGTACAATGTTGATAAGTGTGAGGTTATCCATTTTGGTAGGAATAACAGCAAAATGGACTATGTTTTAAATGGTAAAAAATTGCAGCACGCTGCTGTGCAGAGGGACTTGGGTGTCCTTGTGCATGAATCGCTGAAGGTGGGATTGCAGGTGCAGCAGGTGATTAAAAAGGCAAATGGAATTTTGTCTGCCATTGCTCGAGGGATGGAGTTTAAAAACAGGGAGGCTATGCTGCAGCTGTATAGAGTCCTGGTGAGGCCACACCTGGGGTACTGTGTGCAGTTTTGGTCTCTTTACTTGAGAAGAGATATATTAGCACTGGAGGGGGTGCAGAGGAGATTCACTCGGTTGATTCTAGAGTTGAGAGGGTTGGATTATGAGGAAAGACTGAGTAGATTGGGATTATACTCATTGGAATTCAGAAGAATGAGGGGAGATCTTATAGAAACATATAAGATTATGAAGGGAATAGATAAGGTGGAGGCAGGGAGGTTGTTTCCGCTAGCAGGTGAAACTAGGACTAGAGGGCATCGCCTCAAAATAAAGGGAAGCAGATGTAGGACTGAGGTCAGGAGGAACTTCTTCACCCAAAGGGTTGTGAATCTGTGGAATTCCCTGCCCAGTGAAGCGGTTGAAGCTACCTCGCTGAATGTTTTTAAGGCAAGGCTAAATAAATTTTTGAACAGTAAGGGAATTAAGGGTTATGGTGAGTGGGCGGGTAAGTGGAGCTGAGTCTCAAAAAGATCAGCCATGATCTTATTAAATGGCGGGGCAGGCTCGAGGGGCCAGATGGCCTACTCCTGCTCCTTGTTCTTATGTTCTTATGTTCTTATTTACATTTTTCTGAGACATTGGGATGGTCTGATAACTGAATGGACCCCCGTTGTACTTTGGCAGAAAGACTTTAGACAGTGGTCTTTCCCATTGTGCTTTGGTGGCAGCTGCTTCAAGCTTTAGTGCGTCCCTCCGACATCAATCTGAGATAGAGTCATACAGATGTACAGCACGGAAACAGACCCTTCAGTCCAACTCGTCCATGTTGACCAGATATCTTAAATTAATCCAGTCCCATTTTCCAGCATTTGGCCCATATTCCTCTAAACCTTTCCTATTCATGTATCCATCCAGATGCCTGTTAAATGTTGATGACGTTACTGAGTTATTTTCTTCCTTCAGGCTGCTGAGCACAGAGCTCTTCTCGTGCACTTTCTGGAAGAAGAAACATGAGCATGTCTCATCCTGCTCCATGGCGCAGTCTCTGAACCGGAAGATTATCCTGGAGGCCTCCGAGGCTAAGAATGAGGCTTGCTGCCTGTTCACCTCCTGGAAATCTTACGTGACCTCAAACAATATGATCTGCAGCGGGAGCAGATTCGGCATACTTTTCTGGAGTTTTGACAGTTTTCCCTGTCACTCTCTTGCCCTCTCAACAGCTTTGAGGATAAAGAACCTCTTGATGTTCCCTTTGACTATTTCCCACCAGTCCAACGGAAACTCAAAGAGGAGTTTCATGATTCTCTAACCTGTGTAATCCTATTTGTGCTCATCGATGTTTACGGGGGTCGACAGTTTCACATTCAGTTTCCACATTCCCTTGCCAATCCATTGGTCATCCTGGAGGTGACAGTCGGCCAGGAGGCGGCTGTGGTCAGAGAATAACACCGGTTTGACGTCGGTGTATCTGACCGAGAATATGTGGGACACAAACAGGAATTCTATTCTTGAGCGGATAAACCTGTCTGGCCATGACCAGGTGTAACCACACTGCTGTCCTTCTTCAGGGTCACTAAAGACTTCGTGCAGCTTGGCAACTTTAACCATTTTTATCAGGCATCTGAGCGTGGTGTCTAGTTTGCTATTAGCCCCTGCAGGTCATACATCCTCATCGATGATACAATTGAAGTCTCCAGCCCAGAATGATGGCCTGGATATCGCCAGCAGCAGTGGGAGCTCTTTACCCCTGGGGTGTACAAGTTAATTAGTCTCAGGAGGGTGTTTCTGTGCATAATGTCTGCTATGAGGAGGCATCTGCCCCTCAACTTGCTTAACCTCAGAGCTGGTGAAGTTGGCTTCCCACAGTAGAATACCCAGACTGGAGGAACAACAATCGTTACCCCCTGACCAAATTGAAGGACCCATGCGCCCAAAAGCTTGACCATTTCCTGTAGCTGCTGAGGTGCGGTATCCCACACTCCTGCAGAAACAGGAGGTCCACTTTGATATTGGCCAGGTAAGCCAACGTGGAAACACTTCGCATAGTTGATTTAACTCTACTTGTTAATACTAGCAATTTTTAAACCCATATAAGATTTATGGAATTTGCCAGAAACCTGATGTCCTTTCACCCACAGTATGGTCATCTGGGGAGTCCCTGTTGGATCCTCGCAGGGCTAATGTAGCTGTCCTGTTCCTCCCTGGGGACATTGCCCTGTTTTGGTGTCATCAGGGCAAGGACGAAGCCAGGAAGGTCTGGTTCTGAGTCTGCCAGAGGGGATGTCGTGCTTTGATCTTTATTTGAAGCATTACTGCTCCCAGTTGCCCAGAGCTGTGGCACAAGGGGAGCACCAACGGTTAAGGTTGGTTTTTGCTTGGCCCCTCGTGACGTCTGGTGTTTTCGAGTTGAGGGACTCCTCTCCTTCTCCCCTGAGGTATCGTTTCTGTTTTTCTGCTGCTGGCCATCCCTCTGTAAGTCCTCCTCATCAGAGGAGCTGCTGGTGTGTGCTTCGTGCAGCTGCCTCTTCCTATTTTGCTGTGGCCATGTGCGTTTCCTTTTCTGGTTTCGCGTCACTGTTTTCCACTCCCCCTAACTCCTTCATTACCTCCTCCATTAACTCTGGATTCTCAGGTGGAGGTTAAGTCGACTGCTGTGCCGCTGTATTGACTGCCTTCTTTTCCTCTCTGGCTTATACCTCCTTCTGAGTGACTCTCACTTCATTTTTCTTGCTGGAGAGTGGCACCTTACTGTCCTTTGGTGTAGCCTGGCTGATGTGGCCGCTGCTCACCATCTGAGTGTATGTGGCTCCCTGTCTTGGGCAGGCCTTGTACAGTTGGCCCACTTCCCCGCACATGTTACTGCTGTTTGCTTCTTTACAGTCCGTGGTCAGGTGCCCCTTTTGCTTACAGTTCCTTCCACTCCACTGCTATGTGCCCTGACATCCCGCAGGTTCAACAGACTCTGATCTGCCACACATATGTTGGCTTCCTTCGATCATGAAACTGGATGTTGGGCGGAGGCTGTTCCCATCGCCTCTGCCCTCAGGGTCACCTTCACTTGCCTTTTGCTGGTCCAGATCCCAAAGGTATCCATCGCGTTGGTGCTGCAGCTTTCTACTTACACGTATCCTCCCAGAAAAGTTCGGACATCTGCTGCTGGCACATGGCGGGTGTACATATGGATGGTGACCATCTGAATCCTCTGTGCAGGAAGCATGAATAAGGGTTCTGCAGACAGGATGGAAAGGGGACCCTCACCTCCTTTCTCCTTAAATACCTCATGAGGCACGCACCATGCTTCACACCCCAGAAGGTCCCATCAAAATATGCACTGCCAGGAATATCCTGCAGGCAATAGATTTTATTTCATTTCAGAAATATGCTTTATTCATAAACATGCTCAGTCACTTAAGCAGCTTGATTCTGTGCAGTAGCATTTGAAGAAACAAACAAACATTGGAATTTGACTCTATCCAGCGAACAAGCCAACATTTCTCATTTGTTCAAGATTATATTTACATATATTTGAGCCAATGGGAGGTTCCGATAACTGAACAGACCCATATTGTACCTTGGCAGAAAACCCCTGGCAGCCGTCTTTCCCCACTGCACCTTGGCACCAGCTGCCCCAAGATTTAATGTGTCCCTCAGCATGTAGACTTGGATCTTGGAATGTGCAGCCTACAACACTCGGTCGAGGTCAAATCCTTGCTCTGCGAGACCAGCATCTTTCATCGAGTTGACGGTCCTCCTGGAACAGTTAATTTTTGTCTTGATGCTCATCCCTAGGAACAGACTATTGAGAACAGAGTCCTGTGTCACGGAGCTGCTCGGGATAAGCCTCAAAAGAAACCATTGCATCTTTCTCCAGACTTCCTTTGCAAAGGCACATTCCAGCAGGAGATGTGTGACAGTCTCTATTCCCATGCATTTACTTTGAGGACAGTGTACGTTGGTGCAGACAGACAGGGCAAGCATGAAGGATCTTACGGGTAGTGCCATTCTCACCATCAGCCAAGTGATGTCTTGGTGCTTGTTGGAAAGTTCTGGCGATGAGGTATTCTGTCAAATGATTTTGACAATCAGTTCAGAGAACAACCCGACGGGATCCACCCTCTCCTTCTCCCTCAGGGTCTCAAGGATGCTACGTGCTGACCACTTCCAAATGGACTTGTGGTCAAGGGTGTTTTTCTTCACAAATTTTTCTACGAAGGACAGGTGATATGGAGCAGTCCAACTACTTGGAGTATTCTGCGGCAATGTGGCCAGTCTCACCCTTCGCAACACTGGGGACAAGTAGAACTTCAGTAAGTAGTGACACTTGGTGTATGCGTATTGAGGTCTACACACAATTGACGTAGCCATACACAAAGGTGTCCATCAGAATGATATTGACATTGAGCACGTTCTTCCCTCCACCCCACCAACCCCATCCAGAGTTTTGTACATGGTGTCCCTGTGGTCATCGTTTGTCTTTGATCTCCAGATGAAGTGGAAGTAGACTTGGGTGACAGCAATGGCACAGGTTCTGGGAATGGGCCAGACCTGCACACATGTAAAGACAGAGAGAGTGCCTCACAGTTGATGACCAGGTTTTTATCCGCAATGGAGAGGGAGCAGTGTTTCCAGAAGCCCAGTTTCTGCTTCACCTTGGCAATACACATTTCCCAAGGTGTTGCGCATACCCCAGCCCCTCCAAACCATATTCTCAGCACCTTTTGGTAATCTGTCCTGACAGTGAAGTGGATAAAGGATCGGTTGGCACAGTTCCCAAAGAAGCCGTGCTCTTTCCTTGATTTACTTTGGCTCCTGAGGCCAGTTTGAACCGGTTGCACATGTTCATGAGTCTGCAGACTGTGAGCAGGTATGAGCAGAAGATGGTGACATCATCCACATACAGGGAGGCTTTGACCTGCAGGCCTCCACTGCTTGGAATAGTAACTCCTCTCAGCTCACATCCTTCCTGATGGACCAAGCAAAATGCTCTGTACAACACACAAACAAGGCAGGAGAGAATGGGCAGCCCTGCCTGACTCCAGATCTGATCGGAAAGCTTTCTGATTCCCACCCACTAATTGAGAATGCACTAATGATGTTTCCATGTGCCTATACACATAGAATCATACAATACATACAGTGCTACCATCAACAACTGTGGCATTTTATTTTTACTCACTTGTGGGGCAGGAGCATTTTATTACCCATCCCTTGTTGAAAAGGTGTTGGTAAGCTGTGTTTTTGAACCATTGCAATCCATGTGTTACAGGTCGACCCACAACACTGTTAGGGAGAGAATTCCAGGATTTTGACCCAATGACACTGAATAAACAACTATATAATTCTAAGTCAGGATGGTGAGTGGCTTGGAGAGGAACTTGTAGATGGTGTTCTTCCCATATATCTGCTGCCCTTGTCTTTCTAGATGATAGCGGTTGTGGGTTTAGAAGGTGTCCTGTGTCACCAGAAGGGCAAATTCACCAGAAATAATGGTGTCGTGGTAAACAGTTGGGAGCGGTTGACCTGGGAGTTCTCAACTTTGACTGCGCACTCCATTGTGTCTAATGGCATTAAGTCAAACTTCGACAACAATACCTCTTACAGGTTATCACCTACAATCCCCATTCGCCTGATGAACTTGTGCTCTTTATGGCTGAACTCTAATTGGAAGAAGTACTGAGGCAACAAGGACACAGAATGTATGCTGGTTGGGAACCCGAATATCCATCATCAAGAGTGATCCAGCAGCACCACTACTGACTGAATTGATCAAATCCTAAAGGATATAGTTATTAGACTGGGTCAGTAGCAGCTGGTAAGTGGGAAAAATGTACTTGATTTCATCCTGTCTAATGCTTCACATCTGTCTATGACATTATTGTTCGGAGTGATTACTGCATAGTCCTTATAGAGATAATGTACCATGTTGACATTAAGAAGATCCTCCATTGTGTTGTGTGGCACTACCACTGTGTTAAGCAGGACACATTTTGAACAGATCCAACATCTCAAAAACTGGGCATCCATGAGTTGCTATG